CCCCCCCCCCCCCCCCCCCCCCCCCCTCCTGCCCCCCCACATAGGTATCTACCTAATGCTCTTTGAGCCCTTATGGGACCCAACAAGCTGAAACAGTCATGGGCCTAAGCTGTTCCGTTCAGGGAGGGCGGGGGAGAAGGAGGCAGACGGGGCTTGCCTGTTGGCCAGACGGGAGTTCTTGTCTGTTGCTGCACTTTCAAACAAGCAAAACACTAAAGTTTCTTAACGGTTTAATGACGAGGGTCGAGACATTTGTGCAGTGGAGCTCATAGCCCTCCGGCTGGGTCCACTCTTCCCCTTGCAACCTCATGCTACCGTCTTCACCCGAATAGAACGGCCGGTCATTATCGCTGAAAGTTGGGCCAAATGCAGCTAACAAGAACAGCAGGAACAACAATCCCCATGAGATGAAATCGACAACAAAGTGAGGGACCTGAAGGGACTATTTGAAGCAGCAACTCACCCAACGAGAATACCATGCAGATTGCCTTCTGTACCACAGTTGGTGATGTAGCCCCAGTATTCATCCTTTTCCAACTCCCACAGTCGTGCGAACCAGTCGAGTACACCAACCTCAAACTGACGTGAGTGCACACCATAGTTGCTCTCAATGAAAGGGTCACCCAGATTATTTATCGAGAAACACTGCAGCTGAGTCAGCGCTCCGTACTCAAATTCTAGGTTGTAAGGATAACCTGAAACAGAGCCATTAACAAAAAAAAGAGATCACAGCCCCACATGAACAAAACCATTAATGATTTTAGTATGTTGCCCCCAGATTATTTTCCTTTGTTTCCACCACAGCAAGGCTCGAACACCTTTAATTCCCAATGACTGGGCAGTCAGTTAATCGGAGGAAAGATAGCTTTGCGGTTCTCTGGTGAATCCACCATGGGAGCTCGTTCTTCCTACTGCGCGTAGACAGATCCGCTGTGAGAGCTCGTTCTTCCTACTAAGCAAGGCCAAGACTCTGGACAGCTAGAGAAAACTCTTTAAGGTTTCATGACATAGATTGACAGTCTTTAGCTTTGCCATTCTTAATGGGCAATCTTCCTTCCGCTGAGCCTTTCCAGTGTATCTTAAGTGTTGGACTTCGGCCGTGAACCAACCAATCATTCCGGTCAATCTTTCCTGCTCATAAGCAACTAAAGTCTAGACACAACTCTCAACAACTAGACGCCCAAATTGACCAACAAGAAAGCTTTCATGAGCAGAGTGATTTACCGGAGAACTGGTCTTGCGTACATAACGAAAGACGCAGGGGAACAACGCGCTGGATGGCTTGGACAGGAAACGCAAAACGTAAGATGATAGAATCTGACAATGTGAAGGCGGAAACCGAATTCCATCAAAGATGTGAAGCCGGCCCTCTGGTTGCTAAAAAGTTTTCAGACATCTGCAGAACTTCCTGAAAGGTTTCTGACATCTGGAGAATGCTACACCTGACACTTGGAGAGATTCGAATAGGATGACCAAAAGAAAGAAAAACGACCCCACTTCACCAGATCGGTGGAGAACGAGAGACACAACACATATCAGTAGCGAAGGAGAAAGAACGAGATAGAGAAAGAAGCCAGACTTGCTTTACAGAGGAGAAGCAGAGAGGCCCTCAAGGGGCTGGACAATACACACCACGACATTAATGTGGAGGGAAACAACCTTCCTCTATTTAGCAGACAACAACAGAAGAAGCCTAGGGGGAACATGCCAAAGACAATTCAACAACAGAGATAAATCAATCCATCTATACATATAACAAAATATAGAATGATTCCCATTCCTTCTTTAAACACAGTCAAGCACAATTCGACCTTTCAAGTACGCCCTTTGAGATAGAGTCACCTACCTACACTGTACTCAGGGTTCGCATAGATAGTCCTCCCCATATCACCCTCCTTTACCATCATGAAGGTTTGGCTGGCCTCCTGTCTATTGCTGCACAAGTACCAATCACAGACTACCATTCCATATGAACCTCCACATTGTCCACTCCGGCTCATAGTGTATCAAGTAATCAGAACTCCCCAAACCAAGTGGAAGCGCTTCGCAGCATTATCTAAATGCTGATAATAATCCACTTAGGCTGACACAAACCATGCTGCAATGATTCCACTCCCAATCAGCATGCAATAACACACCACGCGCAGTCAAACCCTCTCTCTCTCTCTCTCTCTCTCTCTCTCTCTCTCTCTCTCTCTCTCTCTCTCTCTCTCATGTCTTGTATCGCTCATGCTCTCCCTCTCCCTCGTGGATCCACCCTGAATACAGCTGTGATGTACCACTCTGAACCTCCGCGGCTATGGCCGTCTTCTTCCTCCTCCCTAGCTATGGTAACCAGACGTCTCGTTCTTCGTTGGGCACTTACTCCTCTTCTAGCGCCCCCTCCCATCCACACCGCACTGTCGCACAAGCAACCCGCAGCGCTTCTGCAATTTGTGCATGAATAGTTGATCCCGCTGGGTGGTGCTGCTGAGATTTTATACTTGTTGATCCGCCTTCCAGACATCTTCTGTTGGTTATGGGTTGGCCTTCTTGCCTTTGTTCCCTGCTTCTGGAAGCTCACGGACGTTCTTGGGTTGGCTGGTTGCATGAACCGACTGACACTTGACCTAATGGCTCTGGTGATCCTGGCTGCAGTTGTGGTGCCTCCAAAAGACAGACTCTTCAACCCATAAGTGTTATCTACCAGGGATTTCTTATCACGATCTGCTTAACCAGCACGCCTAGGCCTCTGCAATCATGTTACAAACGAGAACTACCCTTCTAGAGTATTCGTGCACATTGCACAAGTGGCTGGAACCACTAATAGAACACAGAAATGGGATTTGGGTCTAGAACCAAGGACTCAGGACTGGGACCTGGGACTCGGGACTGGGACCTGGGACTTTGGTACAGTGTGAAATCCTTTCAATGCGAGGTCGGAGGTGTGATAAGGACATCTGGAAAGCCATTGTTCGACCACAGCATCACCCTCTTATTTCGAGAAACGTTAAGGACCAGAAATCATGAGCTGTTTCATAACAGTTTCATAACAATGGCTTTCCAGATGTCCTTATCACACCTCCGACCTCTGAGCCACATCATCAGGATTAGAAATCATGAGCTGTTTCATAACAGTTACATCGTCCCAGAGCAATCGAACTCATTACAGTCAGACTCCATCACTTGAATCTGTCGTTCACCAATTGCACGTCAAGTGCAGTATCTTCCTCTCGATTTCTAGAGCAGGCAACTCAGACCAAATCTTTGTCTCGGCTTCTAGAACAGGCACCGCAGACCAACCACCACCACCCCCTCCCCCATCTGCCTCGCGCCTGGACTGCCGACCCATTGCGAGGTTCGTGGGCTGCCAGATTCTCCAGCACAGTTGGTCGAACCCTACTGCAGCCCCGTGTCGTTAACCAGTGCCTGGTGGTGGCCTTGTCACAGGATACTGATTGTTTACTCGACGAGTTACAAGACACCAACTGTGCACCATCTAAACCGGCGCAAACAAGGGACCTTGTGGTGGTGTTGCTGGTTGCTTCCTGACAGTTCAATTCAGAAGACAGGTCAAGACACCAAACACACACTATCCAGATTCCTGACAGCTTCCCTTGAATCCTTTTCGCCTCTTGCATACTGACCATAGTGTCTCATCTGCTGTGTCCTCTCCTGACTTTCCAGAAACCGCAGCTAGGACGACACTGACACTCCGGCATCTGGCTTCTCGACTCCATGCCTTGAAAATTTGAAATCTTTCTGTCACAAATTGACAAAGATGAGATCTATATCCTCCCTTTGTATTACCTCAGTCAGAAGTCAATTGTAAGATCAATACAGTCACAACACACCCTCCTCATCACTGTATCGAACTGGAAAGATAGCCAGTATGCATTCATGATCAGGGTGTCTTGTGTTCAGGGAAGACAGTGGCCTTCAGGCGTACAAGCATACACAGTTTGACTAAGCCTGTCAGCTCTGGAGTGCTACCATATTCGGCCAGATAGAGTGCACGACCATTATAGCTGCACTCTGCCCAACTTCCTGTCTAGTGGAAGGATTTCACGCTGCACATGTGTCCCAGTCCAGGTCCAAGAGTCCCAGGTCCCAGTCCTGGGTCCTAGGTCCTAATCTTCGGTCCTATTCCGTGTTCCATTAGTGGTTCCAGCCACTTGTACAATATTCACGTCAACTCTAGAAGAGTAGTTTTCGTTTGTATCATGATTGCAGAGGCCTAGGCGGGCTTGTTAAGTAGACCATGGTAGGAAGTCCCTGGTAGATAACAGTTACGTGTTGAAGAGTCGGTCTTTAGAAGGGACCACAAACTTCAGTCAGGATCACCAGAGTCGTTAGGCCAGGTGTCAGTCAATCCAGGCAAGCAGCCAAATCCAAGAAAAGTCCGTAAGCTTCCAGAAGCAGGAAACAAAGGCAAGGGGACCAAACCATAACCAATAGAAGATGTCTGGGAGGCAGATCAGCATAAAAGCTCGGCAGCATCAACAAGCAGTCTCATCTGTTCATACACAAGTTGCAGAGTGCTGCTGGTTGGTTGTGGAGGGGAGGTGGGTGTGGAGGAGGAGCAAATGCCCGGCGAGGAAGAAGACATCTGGTTACCATAGCTCGGGTTAGGAGTTTGAGGAAGAAGGCAGCCATAGGTCAAGGGAGGAACAACGCGGGTGTATTCAGAAGTGGAGTAGGGTGACAGAGAGTGGTGAGGCAAGTGATAAGTCAGCGAGGTTGAGTGATACAAGCTAGGCGGGGCAGAGGGAGAGGTAGATATATATATATATATATATATCGTCAAATATATATATATATATATCGTCAAATAGAACTGCCCGGTAAACCGTAGGCAGAGATATATATATATATATATATATCGTCAAATAGAACTGCCCGGTAAACCGTAGGCAGAGAGGGAGAAGAGGATATATATATATATATATATAGAGAGAGAGAGAGAGAGAGAGAAAGAGGGTGCAGGGATGTAAGTACTTTACTAAGATAGACTTGAAGTCCAACTACCATCAAATTTCCATTAGACCGGAGGACCAGCACAAAACCGCATTTCAGACCAGGTACGCTCTATACAAGTTTGTGGTGATGCCCTTTGGCCTTTGCAATGCGCCAGGTACATTCGAGCACGCCATGAATAGGATATTCCATGACTACTTAGATAAGTTTATCGTCATGTACCTCAACGATATACTTACGTTTAGTAGGACAGTCAAGGAGCATGCTCAACACTTAGAGACTGTACTTTCACTCCTACGACAGCACAAGTATAAGATTAACTCAAAGAAATGTGAGTTCGGTCGCACTAAAATCTTATACTTGGGTCATGAGATATCCGCGGATGGGATAAGGGGTGAAGATGCCAAGGTGACTAGCATTCGTGACTGGCACAACCTACGTCTGTGACCGAGGTCAAATCACTCTTACGGATGACTGGCTACTACCGCAACTTTGTAAAGAACTATAGTACGGTGGCCAGCCCTTCGACTGATCTAACTCGCCTTGACACACCATGGGAATGGACTGACAAGTGTGAAGCTGCTTTCAAGCGATTGAAGCATGCTCTGACGCACCATGAGGTTCTCCTGGTTCCTGATCCTGAGAGGCCATTTGTTGTGACCAGTGACGCAAGCCAATATGACATTGGCGCAGTGTTGGCTCAGCACGAAGGGAAGAAGTTGAGGCCGGTCGAGTACAT